TAATAATAATTGTCATACTAAAACCAAGATTTTTAAAAGACATCGATGTCTAAGGATTAATAGTTATTCATAATATTATATTATATGGCAGCTAAACGATAAGTGCAATAAAATATACTTACTAGAAAATTAAGAATTGGAAAATTTATATTTTTATAAAATAAAGACACCGGTTGATAACCACTGATATATAATAATATTTTACAATTATGACACAGCATAAACATATTTCCTAACTATGGTAGAAATATTTTCAGGAAAAATATAGTTGTCAAAATCTTTTTAAAATTTGATCGAATAATTAGGAAATATTCTAGTTATATTCTTTGGCCTAGAAGTTCATGTTTTTTAAAATATTTTATAAAAAACATTTACAAACCATTTTAATCATAAATTTTCAAAAAAAAAACATTTTAACGGAAACTTTATAAAAATATTGAGCCAACATTTTTATGCAATCATGTAATACGATATTTTGTTATCACGAGAAGAAAATATTTATAAAATATTATTAGTCAAATATTCGATATTCAAGCACTTTAAAATATTCACAAAATATTATCGTTTCCCAAATGCTCTATATATTTATAAAGAGCAAATAATATATTTGTAATTAATCGATAGTGTGTAGGTACCTACTTTTTGATAAATGTATCGTGTCTTGTTTTTCGTTAAAAACCGTTTGCTTTTTGCCTTTGCACCACTCACTCTCGTCTCTACGACATTCGCTTTAATATTTGTCCAAGTCGATCTTAACGATGCAGCGATAGGCGTTGAAGAGTTGTGTTAAACCTTTGCGTAAACACACGTGTTATTGGAATCCGACCTTTTCGATCGCTACCTATATTACTTCGAGCGGCGTTTAGGAAAATAAAAAAGTAACGATCACGAAAAAATAAAAACTTACACGATTGGTTTCCGTGCTCTCCGAACTGAAATTTGTATGTATCCGAGCGGAGACCGGGACGGGGGAGAAAGGACGGTGGAAAGAGAGCGGTGATTCGGCGGAGGGTGGTAAGAGGGAGAGAGAGCCAGGGGTATGCGAAAGAAAGAGAAATTACATCCGACACGGGTGACTTTTCTCGAGATGAAATATGAACAGAAATAAGGACAAGAACCCTTGACTTTTATATTATACTCTGGGGGTGCCAAGTAGAGAGATGGTATATGAAATACACGAGTGTATATATGGAGAGTGATGAATGCAAAAGTAATTTTAAACGATAGGGAACATTTTATTTTACGTTTTCAGACGATATTGAAAAAAAAAAAAAAAAATGAGAAAAACCTTTTTAAATCAGTCTGGCGCAAAAGTTTTGTTTGCCATACGCGATCGGCGCCGACTTTCCGTTTATTAACGCGCTACACCGTGCGGTGACACGTTCGAGATTAATCTTTAGAGAATATTTGCGTTTATCACATTCGTCTGAAACTTTTTTTTTTTTTTCTGAAAAATAATCGTTTTACACGTTACACTTTATACCTACCTATATATAACTACTCCCAAACGTTTTTAACGACGTTCGAACTCGGCGATTTGTACGCGGGCACTTACTTGTTTAATTATTAGCAGTGTTGTGTTTGGGTAAAAAAAAATATCTAGATATAGATAGACAAAATCACTTTTATCTAGATATAGATAAAGATAAAATAATTTTTGTAAGTTTATTGATTAACAAATTTCCGGTTTTTTACACATTTTGTTATTTGTATTGAATATTTTTAGCGCATAATTAGCAATATTTAAGGTAATAATATAGACAGTGTTGGGGAATAACTTAACTTAAGTTACAAGTTACTGTAACGACATTACTTTTTAAGTAATTTGATGGTAATTTAATTACATTTTATTGTAAGTAATTTATATGTAATTTAAGTTACTTTTTTGTAGTAATTTTTACTAAATTACTCGTTACTTTTCTTTGGATTAATACATTTTTTAGAACGTACCTATTGATAATATTGTGTGTAGGTAAATATTAAAATATATCATAATATAACTTATTAGTATTTTAATTTATAGGTAAAATTGTATGAACTGTAGGTACTATTTTTGTTATAGCTATTGACAGTTCGACTATAAAGTGTTACTTTTAGAATGGAATTCTTATCTTTACTCTGTACTCTGTGTTGTATCGTCGCGGACGGCTCACGGCGTTTGCAGCGTCTGCGTATACAGCATTGTTGGAACTATCAATAAATAGTAATAATAATAAAAGTGAGGGAGACGGAGTGGCCGAGCGGACTAAGGCGTTGCTGGCAATGCGCACCGTAGCTGGTTGGAATCTCGGTAACGGGCAGACTACAGGTGCCCAATTTGAAATTCTTTCAAGCTAAAACACACGTGTTTACAAAAACCTACCGTACCCTCCATCTCAGTTAAAAACCACCCAATTGCTGCGGGTTAGTTAATATAAAAAAAAAATAATTAATAAATAAATGTGTGGCTTGGCTGCTAGATACCAGTCGCGCAATACGACTGAGAGTAAGTTGCGCCCGCTGCTACTAGTTCCCGGATGGGTGACCACCCGGATTCGTAGTAGTAAAAACCTTGCCACACTTACACGTGTTTACATACATACCGTAACAACACCTTACCATACCAAATTTACCAACCACAGTTTATAATCCCCTACAACAGCTTATGGCCATAGTTTCCGGGCTTAAGTTCAATAAAAATAATAATAATAATAATAGTGTAGCAAAATGAGTATCTGCTAATAATTTCACATTTTTGATTGGTATTACCTATTGAGTTTATGTATTGTTATATTGACAACATGATTATTAAGCTCCAGTGATATTTTTGAAAAAAAGTAACTTCTATTGTAATTCAGTTACTTTTTAAACTCAAAAGTAATGTAACTTAACCATATTAAAAAAAAGTAACTTAAAAATAATTTAGTTACAATTTTGATAAGTAATTAGTAATGTAATTTAATTACCAAAAATAAGTAACTTCCCCAACACTGCATTGCATATTAATAATATGCAGTTTTAACTGATATAAACTCCCAACAATGGATGTATTACTTAACCGTGAATTATCTAGATCAATTGGTCTAGATGATTA